GTAGTTGGTTTGGGTTCGGTTATAGTTAGTACGTAGTCGGTCGTACTACCTACTACTTCCTACTATATATATATATATATATATATATATATATATCTCATTGTGCTGATGTGATTAAATAGTAGATATTGATTTGTGAAAAAAGTAAATTACTTATTTTCTATTTTATAGCAATACATAAAAATTTGATAGAACAAATTATTATGTTTTTAATTATTTTTGTAATTATAATATATTAATTACATTATTAGATTTATACTATTAGTATTATTTACCGAATCGATATCTTTTGTAAATTTTAATGCTCTTGATTTAATCATCCCTTTCACTTGCCGCAAAATCCGGGATTTTACGATGAAATCTGGATCCCATCTTGCAATATCTAGCTAGTCAGGCTGTTCAGGTTCACTCCCACTGTGAACAAGGACCATGAATCAAGGCCTTGAAAGGTCATAATCTCAGCATTCTCCCACTTGGCCTTTGGGGGCCTTATAATCACATAAGCGCTCTCATCCGCAAAAACATTCGGAAATATTCTAACATAGAAACAATTAGAAATGCTAATGCACTTGGATAACTAGAGATGCTCATGCATGGGAAGTAATAAGAAATACTTCATAATTAGAGATGCTCATGAATAACAATCAGGCATGCTCATGCATACATACATTCATGAATGCAGCCTCAAAACCCATCCCATGTACATATTTTGCAAAGATATTTGCAACTAAGCCTTTAGAGTATGTTTGGTTTGTGTGTAAATATTTACACAAGCAAAGTATTTACATATGTAAACAATTTGCAGCAAAATATTTGTATATGCATTCTTTTTACCATGTTTGGTAACGCATTTAAAAAGCACTGTGTAATCACTTTCCTATGTTTGGTAGCACTTGGTTGGTGTGAAAATCTTTACAAAAAACCTTGAATAGATGTGTATATTACACATACAATATAATAAATATATAATATATAATATGTAATATATATTATTTTATAAATAATAGTATATAAAGAGAAGAAAATGGATTTATCCTTCGATGTTGGAATATACATATTTAAAATTGATGCAAATAGATAAGGATCCCATTCTTTATTCGGCTGAATCTTTTTAGTAAAAGATTGGGCCGAATTTAATTGCTATTGGGGGAACGAACATGAATCACTAGATTACAAGACATCCATTGCTTCGAATTCAAATTTGATCTCCTTCCATACATCACAAGCAACAACTAGTTCTGGGCTCCACTTGCTAGCTTTACGGATAACTTCATTACCTTCACGAGCAAGATCACGTCCCTCATTCGAGCTTGTATGCATGCTTTTAAAGCCACCCGATAAGCTATTGCTCCAGGTGCATTTCCCCAAGGGTGTCCCAAAGTTCCTTCGTCAAATTGTAATACAGGAATCATCCCCAAAGATCTCTGTCAGGGCAGGCATATGCCAAATATGAATAACCATCGGAAGCCATGAGCATAACATCTGGCAGAGATACTTATATAATATGTACTATGTATTATATAAATAATATATTATTTGTATAAAATGTTATTTATATATTATATATTAATTATTATTGAAATATAATTTATATATTAAATATATAATTATTATTGAAATATAATTTATATATTAAATATGTAATTATTATTGAAATATAATTTATATATTAAATATGTAATTTATGTATAAATAAAATATTATAATAATATATTATTTACAAAATAATGAATAGGGAATAGTGTGTCCGCGTGTGAAAACAAATGCATCGGGAATGTTTCCCCACCTCAATAGGTGTGGTTTTATTTTACCATGAATTAGACCATTTCATGGTAAAAGTTTTTACCATGGTATTTATTTGCATATGCATTTCTACGAACCAAACGTATGAAATGCAATTTACATATGTAAATATTTCTTGGGGAATATTTACGCGCAAACCAAACGTACGAATAGTCATTGGATCCGTATTGCATTGCCTTGCTAGGGATATGCCAAGTCAATCTCACAAATGTGTAGAAAAGTTTCTCTTATGTTGTTGGACTTTTTGTAGAACCTAGGTTCTCTTGCTACATGAAAAGCCGTTAGATTGTCACAAATAATCCTCATGGTTCCACATCTCAATGGCTCATAACAGAGTTGATTAAAAAATTTCTTGATCCAAATTGTCTCTTTCGAAGCTGGACAACATACCACATTCAGATTCCATGGTGGATAATGCAATTATGTTTTTCTTCTTAGAACACCAAGATGTAGCCCCACCTCCAAAAACAAAGAGATAGCCCAAAGTAGGTTGGAGCTCATCTGCGGCACCTTGAAAGTCGGGATTTGAGTAGCTAAGGACTGTTAAGTCGGAAACATCTCCATAGGTGAGGGCATAATGCATGGTTCCCTTAGTATATCTATATTCTCCTAACCGTTTTCCAATACTCCATTTCCGGGTTGCTATGAAATCTACCTATTAGGCTTTGGGTAAATGTTAGGTCGGTCTTGTTCTTTGGGTAACATACATTAGGGATCCTATTGCACTTCTATATGGCACTCTCTCCATGGATTTTCTATCCTCATCATTTCTTGGATGCATGAATTCAATTTGGTCCTCTTTTATATGGGTGTGTTAATGGGCTTGAGAAAGTGAAATAGTTAACGACATGCCTATCTCTTATGATCTTGACCCCCAATGCAAAAGATGCCTTACCCATGCCCTCCACGTCGAAATTGTCTGGTAAGCATGGCTTTTGTTTCCTTCACTAACCTAGGGAGCTACTAGCTACTAGAATGCCATTCATGTAAAGAGTCATGAACACAATGCCCTTCCCATTGACCTTCAAATATATGCAATGGTCCTCCTCATTGGGATAGAATCCATGCTTTGTTTGGATCTCATGATATTTGATAGGCCACCTCTGTGAAGCTTGTTTTAGGCTATATAAGGATTTATGGAGTTTGTTAACTAGGTCTTCTTTGCCCTTGACTTCAAACCCTCGGGTTGTTCGTATAGATCTCTTATGCTAATTCCCCATTTAGGGATACGCCATTTCAACATCCATATGGTGTTCGAGGTCTAGGTAGGTGGCTATAGACATGATGGTTCTATTGGAGACCAATTTGGCAATTGGTGAAAAGGTATCATGTAGTCAATGCCCTCCTTTTCAGTTAACGGTTTGGCTACAAGTCTTGCATTATATTTCTCTAGTGGCCCTTTGGAGTTTAGTTTCCTTTTGTACACCCACGTCCTACGGGTGTACGGTTGGGCGGTAGTGTTTACGCTTCGATTTGTGCCGATCTCTGGGATGAGATCTGCTCAAATCTTAGCAAAAACTAAGTTATTTTTTAAAAGGTAGAGAAAGTGGGGTTGCTTGAATTATGGGTTGAGAAAAATCCCAATCTATACAGATTCGATCTTTTTCTGAATCCACTGGCAACGCCAGCTCCAAATCCGTATTTTAACCTAAAAATGCTTCTAAATTTAATCAAATCTAATAATAATTTAATTTTTAGAAAAAAATAAAATAAAACAAATAATTAAATGAAGAAAAACAAACTGAATTAAGAAAAAAAAGAGATACTTAAATCTAAGGACCCGAAACCCAGAGTTTCGGGCTTGTATTAGGCCGCTTTTTCGATTTGTACTACTATCTCCTTTTTTGGATGCCTTTGTTTGCTGGAATTGGTAGATCTAAGGTTCTTTTGACCTAGATCTAAGGTTCCTAAGGCAGGGAGAAAAATTGAGAATTTAAGTGGGGTCTACCTAGGCTTTTCTTAGGATTGGAAGAGAATTTCTGTCATTTTCTAAGCTTTTTGAGAGCTTTAGAGGTTGAATATGAATTCTGGGTTTTTCTCTGATTTTTGGGGAATTTTCCTAATTTTTAAGAATTTTCTAAGGGTTTTTCCTATTTTTGGGTATTTTTGGGCAATTTTTCTAATTTCGGAAATTTTTAAGATATTTCTTTGCTTTTTTGGTCCCTTTTTCGTCCTCCTTTTGGGTTAAGGAGAGGGGGTATTTATAAGATTCAATTGGTGATTTTTCTTGATTTTTTTGGAATAGTTTCGAATGTTTTGGATTTATCTTGAAGTTTTAGCCTTATTTAATTTAAGAAACGCCTTTACTGCATCATAAAACGCGTTGAA